AGTTCAACATTCAATGAGAAAATCATTACAAGAAAACGAGGAGAAAACCAAGGACAAAATGGTGGTGGATCTTGAGATGGAAGACTATGAAGTAATTGATGGTCAAAGCTCTCATCAATCTTGCACTTCTCTAAGTCGAAAAAGAAAGGTTAGTATGTATATATCGAGTAACATTCATATACTACTTTAATAAGAGTTATTAAGAAGATAAAAGCACAATATATCTACTATAAAAACATACGTACATGCAATAATATGAAGAAAAGATTTATGGTACGGATGTGAAAACTATTCTATTCGTTTCATGGTAATTAATAAAAGAGTTAAATGTTCTATTATATGTTGACTATTAGAATTCCGTATTTAATAATTTTATTTGTTTAATTAATGGAATAGTATAAGATAACACTTAATTTGAAATTGAAAGAATATTATTTTGATAAATGCTCTGAAAATCAATCGTTTGTTTGTTTTTTTTTTAAAACAGAAAAAACAAAAAAACAAACGTTTGTTGAAGCACTTATCGCCATAATCTTGACCAAATCGGTTAAACATGGTCTATGTGGCCAATTAATTTGTAGAGATGTCCATTTAATAAGTTGTTGTAGATTTTATTTTAAAAGAGAAAATTTAAAAATATTAGAAGAAATAGAAGAAAACAAAACCGCTAATTGTATGGAATATTCGACGGCTATACTCTTTGTAAAAAATTAGGCGGGTGGTAAAAACCTAACTGTACTCGATTCCTAAACAATTTTTAGAACATTGAATATTCTATGATGCATGTATAATTTATAAATACTTAAGTAGTACATTATTTACTGTTTTAATGATTCATAATTGTTTTGAATCTTTTGATCACAATAGAAAAATTACATTTATATTAAAATGATTGGTTATCCATAATGAATAGTTTGAGGTTTGATATTTTACCTCGAGATAAATATCTCGACAGTTAGATTTACAAAAGGGAAAAAAGAAAGAAATATTTCTTAGATTTACGAAATTGCATGACTTACTTTTTTCTTGCTAATTTACAAAAATATAACTTTATGAAG